AACACACTATGAAGCGCTGCCAAGAGCATTTCAAACCAACAGGTGGCAATATAATCCTAACCGTAAAAAGCCATGTTGGCCAATCAGAAGCCTGAAAAAAGTGTGCGCTCCGATGCCACAAGCCAAAATCTCTGGTTTCATCGGCTACATGACAACACTGCAACCAGAGTTTCTGGAAATCTTCAGCCTGGCAGGAGTTTTCAGTGATCTGATACTGCATTTGTGTGTAGATGAACGGACAAACCACAGAAAAAGCTGTGGTTTTAAAAAATACCCATGTTCGAGTGGACAGGGCCTGATTCTTGTTACATGTTTTCTGCCCCTGTCTGCTGTGTGCCTTGTTTGTCTCCATAGTTAACCTCATTAGTTGCTACAGTCACTCACTTGACCACACCCATCTACTTGTTAGTTCCCATAGCAACTCATTGATCACTTCTGTTCTCCTGTGTACAAATAGCCCTTATGTTTCCTTTGTGCTTTGTCGGTTGTTGAATGTATTTGTGCTTGTTTTGCTCGTGTTTCTCTTCCTTGTGTTTTTTGTTTCTCATTTTCCTGTTTGTTCTGTTGTTTACTTCTATTAAACTCCTGCAATTAGATCCTGATCTCAGCCAGCTTTCTCCAGCACATTAATAATAATGCAAACATGCGAAGGGTGATATAAAAAAAACAAAGTAGTTCTGTGCATCTCACCTGTTACCCTATTAATGATGACATCATCATAATTCTCTGGTGCGTCCACTGCACATAAAAATATGAAAATATAAAATATATATAAAATTAAATATAAGCCAAATAAAACCCCATTAAGACAGTAATTTAAAGTATTATCTAACAATCTTGATTTTAGAGGAATATTTTTTAAAAGTTGCTAAAAAGTAAAACCTTTTTTGAAATCAGCGTTCTGTCCGCTCGTCATGACATCATCATAGCTCTCAGGTGTGTCTTCTACAAATTCACACATTCATCACAGACACACATTCATTACATTCAGAACAAATGTGAAATATCTATCTTAAACATACTGTAATATTTTAATTTAAAAGTGTATTATATGCTGTTGTAGAGTAAGAGAGGGACACCTGTCTCACGATCTGCTTTCAGTCCATCAGTGATGACGTCATCATAGTATCCCGGTGTGATTTCCTTCAGCATCTCTTCTGCATCAACACA